TTAGTGCTTTAAACACGATGAAGCCTTAATTTGAATTTGTACAAGTATGTGTAGACTTGTGTCTGGAACGCGTTGATGTCTTTTTCTTGTAAACAATGGCAATGCCTGTATTAATATTTAATAGCGCTAATTAACAGTATAAAAAAACAAGTAGGATTTTTTTTGTACTACATGCAGCACCGCAACGCTTTGATTTATTAACTTTAAGTGAATTTCAGTTGCGAATATTGCTGCTGCAGCAGACAATTTGTGCTGCTTCCAACGATATTTAATACCTTCAGTCAACTCCAACTTGCCGGCCTGTTATATTTTATCTCACTTCCGAGTTCGGTTGTTTCAATTTGGGACACCAGTCAATAGTACATTACTGCAGCGGCCAGCAAAAGGGCCATTGATGGACGATCTAGAAAATATACATAAGTCCTTCAATGCCTAGTAGTGGCCAGGGCTTGTATAGTACTTTTCTCAAATAATGCGCGGAAATAAAAACGAAGTACATAGTCACAACTTTTTATTCGAATAGAAAACAAATGAATACGATGACGATAAAGTATTCATTTGTTTTTCTTTATTAAAAGCTTTCTATTGACGAGTAAGATCAAAGTAGGTATACTGCGTCTCGGGACGCACGACAGAAGTGATAACTTTAACTAATCTAAGCGGCGCTACGGGTTAAAGTGAGATAGGCGGAGCCTGCTTACCGCTGCCTTATGCGTGAGACAAAGGGAAGCCAGACATGCTGGCGCCGTAACGCGTTGCGTAACGAAGTTGGTTTACCCTCCCATAAGAAACTCTTCAAAAAAATTTCTGGCTCTTGGCCGCGCTTGAAATCACCGCGAGTAGTATCTTCGTCGCGCCTCCTACTCGAGAAGTCCCAGGTTCGAATCCCGGTGGGGGCAGATGTTTGTGTGATGAATGAGCATTTGTGCTCCAGTCATGGATGTTAAATATGTATTTCTGTATAAATCTACTTATATATGTATCAGTATCAGACCCGTCTTTCCCAGTGGGCACTTTGGGCAAGTGCCCAGGGCCCCGCGATCCATAAGGGGCCCCCTCAGATCAAATACTAAGTCCCTTGTTCCTGTTAAATCACCAAACGGAAGTCATAGGGGCCCCATTATTCTAATATACCCAGGGCCTCCAATAGGTCAAAGACGGCACTGATCAGTATGTATTCTATCCGTTACCTTAGTATCCCATAACACAAGCCTACAGTGCTTACTTTGGGGCTAGGCTAATTGGTGTGATTGTTGGAAATATTTATTTAATGTCTGCCTCGATCGCTTGCCGCGGTGAAGGGGGACTTTCTGTCCGTTTTATGGTGCAAACGTGACTATAAATAATATATGCGCAAGCGCATGCAGTTTCGGCTACCCAGCAGCTAGCAACACAAATTAATTATGTGTAGATTTTCTTACTATTTTCACTTTGCTAATGCAGACTTTTTTTTATTTTTTTTTTACACTCACACCAATAAGCCTAGCCCCAAAGTAAGCACTGTAAGGCTTGTGTTATGGGATACTAGGGTAACGGATAGAATACATAATACAGTACATATATACGTATATTTATATAGAAATACATATTAATCATCCATGACTGGAGTACAAATGCTCGTATTCATCACACAAACATCTGCCCCCACCGGGATTCGAACCCGGGACCTCTCGAGTCGGCGATACCATGAAACCCGGCGTATAAACCACTCGACCACGGAGGTCGTCAAAACTTCAATTTTACTTAAGCTAGGAATGTTAACGCCTTGTTATTAATTAATTTCAGCATTATTGACCTTCATTCATTTGTCATTCAAACCTTATGTAAAAAATTTACGCGCAGATCCACATTTAATTCAAACGTATTTTTTTTTCCGTTTTGACGTAAAAGCATAAGACAGGCAGAATAAATGAATGCTTCATTGTACACTATAATAAAAATAAAGGGATATTTAATATTCAAAGGAAAAGGAACAGACGGATAGACTTTCGTTTGAAATTATAATGTTGGTATGGACAAATTCGACAATAAGTAGTTATTATTTAATACAAAGTCAGTACACAATGACTATAAATATCAGCTGAGCTGTAATGTAATATTTTTAATGCCATATAATATACAGGGTGTTACAGAATTCCGAAATAAAATTTGTAGGTGTGTATTCCGAAATAAAAATTTGTAGGTATCTGAGCGGGGCGCAGGCGCGCCTGGGGGAGAGAGGGGGGTCTGTTTAGGTAGTAGTAATCGTACGCATTTATAGGGTTGTCATAGGCAGGTGTAAAACGATATTTTTATTAATTTCATTAGAAAATAAAAGTGGTCTGAAAAACGTCAAACTTTCGTAGGTAATTCTATACAAGGAACACAACCAAACCCTAAAGTTTTATTTCGGACTTTTGTCACACCCTGTATAGTGTGCTTCGGAGTTACATAACTTAAGTCCACCTTCACGTTTTTACCACAGAACCACCAGAGTGACGGCAAAACGCCACAGATATACCGTAGAGGTCCCGCAAACTCGTAATAAGCGGTTTGCTTCCACCTATATCGTCAGAACAGCTAGGTTGTAGAACTCTTTGCCGGAATCTCGGTTTCCAGTCACCTATAATCTGGGGCTCTTCAAGTCGCGAGTGAATCGGTTTCTTCTAAGCAAGCGCGTCCCACCTTAGGCTGCTACGTCGAACTTCATCAGTGGCGTGGCCATCAAGCGTAAGCCTAAATAATGTAAAAAAAATGCATACTTAGCATTCCAATGCTAAGAAAGAGTAAGCTCTTCTTTGAATTCTAAATCTAAACTAACTCTTTCTTTAAAGACCAGCATCGCATTTGTGATAGTCCTGGTGCTTAAGTATATAAGCGACGGTAAAAACTTACCACCAGGAGAGCCGTCAGCTCGTATGCCCCCCATAAAATATAATATTTGAGGCTATATAATAAATTAAAATAAAATGTAACTCAATTTAGTGTTTAATAAATATCTTTTAATTGCGTTAATAATAAGTTGAGAACAAAGATAAACAGATTCTTTTGAAGACAGAGAAAATAAATAGACTCTTTCTGGATAAGCTCCCACATCTCGCTCGCTCTCCGGTTGTATAGAGATTCAGGAAATTACCCATTATTAAATATAACAAATGTTGAGAGATGTGCTAATATTGTAAATCAGTTACCGTGTTGAGCATGAGCACCACAATTTACATTATATCAGTGTCAGTAATATGACAACTGAGCGTTATTAAAACGAGCTATATATAGCATACCTTTTAGGAGCTCGATGGCGCAAGTGGTTAGCGCGTTCGGCTGCGATCGTTGAAGTTAAGCAACTTTCGCAGTGGTCGGTCATTGGATGGGTGACCAACAATTTATTATCTCGAGCTCCTCCGTGCTTCGGAATTCGTCATGGCCCAATCTCCCTATTCCATTCATAGGGAAGGCCTGTGCCCCAGCAGTGGGTACATTAATAGGCTGATGATGATGATGATATATCATATCGCGGTGCCCATGCTAGGCCGGGAGATTGATTCCCTATAGACTTCAGATCCTACAAACAGTCCAACTATTACCACGAAAGATGTAGGAAGTACCATTTTCTGCCGCTAGAAATAAGACGTAATATCAGTGACATCTGCTTTCTCATAATTATTGTGTAAGAAAACTCCTTCATAAACCAACAAATTATTTATTCAACTCCAAATTATCAGTTCTTAAAATAACAATTAGAGACGACACATCCGAACACTTCAGGGGCTATCAACAGAAATGTTCCCTGTCCACTCTCACTGTCTCGCCATGATTCAGTCGGCCATACTACTTTCGCGTTCCGGTTTTAATTACCTTTAATATAACGATCGATAAACTAATTTTAAACTTATAACATAACTAGTGGCCCACCCTCGCTTCGCTTCGGCGTAGAATTGATCAAAATCCTTGCCTACGTCATAACATCTACCTGCATGCCAAATTTCAGCCCGATCCGTTCAGTGGTTTGGGCTGTGCGTTGATAGATCACTATGTCAGTCATTCACCTTTGAGTTTTATATATATAGATGATTTGATTAATAATTTGGTTGGTAAAATTAAATTGAACCTAATATTTGCCAATGGATCAGCTGACTGTCCAGAATTACTGTCTTAAGTAAATCTAATAACTATCTTATTAAGGTTTAGATATCGGTCTGTTTTGTGCATACACCCAGCTAAAACCCTAAACAGATCGAACAATTTTTAATACGTGCATGTAATTCATTTAATAAACTACTCAAAAATATTGACATATTTTGTTCCAGCATATAGATATTGCAATCCACGAAAACGTGCCCCACTATTCCTCCTAACCGTTTATAATAAATAAATGTGTGCCAGCTTCCGCTTATATTTGAGTGTTATTGGTACACACTAATTATCTATGATAATAATAAATAAAAATATGATAAATATCTAATTATGTTTTTATCACTATCTTTTGAACAAAAATTGGTGGGGCGCATCTTCGTGGTTTGCACTATCTGTACCTTCGGTTAGAAAACTTATTAGCAACCAATTCTTTTCCACATGAATAATTAGTTGTCCTCCACCATATAATTTAAACCTACTGGAATAAACTTCAAAGCTCAATTGATATTTTTTTATTGTTTTGTCATTAGGTAACATCTTAAAGAATATGTTTTTTTTTGAAAATGCCTCACTCTTAGCGGGGTGCAGTTAACTAATTTTGGGCACATAACAACTGATTTCTTAAAGTATCAGGTGTATTTGTATAAGTGTGTGTGTGGGTGTGTGTGTGTGTGTGGGCGTGTGGGTGTGTGTCTATGTGCATATGTATGAATAATATTTAACTTACTTAATAACCTATTTGTGGAGATTTATAAATAGCATTGTTCATTCAATTTGATTAGATAAGGTTGACAATTGTCTGTTAATCTTCCAACAAATAAATAAGCAATATCCAATGTAATGAATCGCGGTGCATTGTTGATTAATGAACGAGTCATTTCTTCCAGATCCGAGGGTGCAGGGATGGTTCCTCTTCGACACGCCGCTGCCGACTCTGGCAATGGTCGTGGTATACCTAGGATTCGTGATGGTGGCCGGCCCACTGTGGATGGCCAGCAAGAAGCCGTACCAGATCAAGAATACTCTAGTCGCTTACAATGCCTTCCAAGTTCTGTTATCACTATACATGTTCTATGAGGTGAGGATTGAACAATTTTAAGGATAATGAAAAATTATTATCTCTTATCTATTAGACAAGTCCGTCCGTCCGTCTGTGGTACTGTTTCAGCGGCCAAACCGTAAGAGATAGATAAAGAGAATATTTAAGTTATAAGTTAAGAATAGTCTGATAAGACTACAAACCGGATTTGAGTAACGTAGCACTTCCGGTTTTCGAGAAATCACGAATTTCAAACGAAACCACACAAAATGTCCGAAGTTCTCAATTAATGCAAATACATTTTTTTTTTAAAAAGAAGGTTTTGGTGAACATTTGGTTCACTGGTTTGCTAGTTAGTATTTAATAACTATTATAATTATTATGTAAATAAAATATATGAGGTATGAATTAACAACAAATGAGGAAATACCAACTAGGTCCCCACCTCGACAAAATGTCATCCTACTTATATTATAAAATGTTTGTACCCCAATCACACAAAGACTACTGAATGGGTTTGGATGAAATTTGGTACTCATATATTTTACGACCTGGATTGAGACATAAAATAATTTTTTCCCGAAAAACTGTGAGGTTCCTGAGGGATTTTCGAAAAACTCGGTACAGATACGAAAACGAAATGAGCCCGCACCGACCCAGTGAGGAAAGCGCCTAATAAAGGCCAACGCCGATCGACGCGAAGTTAATAAGTTCGACGAAATACGCCATTTGAATTTAGCCTCCAATACGTCAGTTAGGGCTTACCCGCGTCTTGACATGCTGAAGTCCTAGCTCTTTAGAATATATGTCGGATGATCGACAGGTGTATTATAATAATAATAATAATTGTTTATTCAAGGCTTAAAAACCCCAATTAAATGTCATATACAAAATTCAATTACAAAAAAGTAAAAGTGTAAACAAAATAATAATAAAAAATACATGTGTCACTCGGAGACTGCCACGGTAAAGCGTGGTAAAGCTATTGCATAGCATTTTTATCAGCTTATGCAATTTTAATTATTTATTTATTTTATTTATGCAGTATTTTTTTTTTGATATTGATTCGTTTTTTCTTTGATATTAATAGATGATGAGGCAGGCCTTATGATATTTTATTAGGCAAGCACAGCAAACAGCAGCATTGTCCGGTGCCAAAAAATTTCCGCAAGCTCCACAGTTTAATATCTTTAGTCCAAAAATTTTAATTATAATTATAAAGTCTAAATGAAAGGGAGACAAATAAAAATAAGAACAGGTGCTGGGGTCTAAAACAAATATATAAAAAACGAAAGAAATAATAATAAAAAAAATACGAGTGCGGGATTTGAACCGACGACCGCGGTGATGCGTCAAACGTTGGTCCCGTGGCAAAAATACAATACACTGCACCGTTTAGATCGATATTAGATTGACGAAAATTGTGATATGTATATAGATAGGTCCAACAAATGACTCCACCCCACCCGATGTTAAGTGATCGTGAAATCCAGACGTGAAGATATGCACTTTCGTAAGGTTTTTTTCGTTACGGAATTTCTTGATTCGGTCGCCGCGCTCAAAGCCCGCGATAAAAGCTATACAATAGCTTAAAAAATTGGAAAACAGTAAAAGTAAAACAGGAAATACGAGTATAACAATAACTACGTCATTTTAGGTTCTCACTCTGGAGCACTGAAATCCAGTATTTAAATAAAGGATTATCTAGTCATTTGCATATAGATTTGATTATGCTGTTATGAGAAAGACATATTCATGACCAAAAAGAGGCTATAAGTCTTCTCATAACAGCATAAAAGTCTGATATACGAGCTTCTGAAAACTATATTATCTATCCTTTAAGTTACTTCGTCCATTTTGCCTAGCCCTGAGCTAGACGCATTAAGAGCCCTTTCACATTTTTTGCAAAAAATTGTAATTTTTCAGCGCCTTATTTACCCCCTTAGAAAAGATTTTGATTATTTCCAATAGAAGTTATCAGTAAAATTATTCTTCGTATTGAAAGTTAATGTAGAATATTTGCAAATACTATTTTCCTGTTTTTGTACTGATCGTTCTACTGCAGCTAGTTTACAGAAAAAACGATAATATGCACAACTTCAAACGCCTGAATCTCTAAATAATGTTCAATAAATTAGATCAAATTAATTACTACGACATCAGAAATATGTTTTTGTTGTAACATAATGTATTAGAATTTTCATTTTCTATCTCATGGATTAACAAAAAAAAACATCTAACCATGAGTTTTCCCAATAAATAATGCAGGTTTACCCCGTATTTTGATATTGACTTAAATACAATTCCTATAAAAAAAATTCATAAAACTAATCTACTATCATTAAACTACTGCAATATGAATATATTTTTTATAATTAGTTCATTAATAATTATTTTTTAAGACTCTAAACATCACCCGTAAAATGCAATATATACTAATGCAAATCTACCTACGCGCTGATTAGTACAGCAGCGGTGCAATTTTGTAAAAGGGCTCTTAAGTGGAGATGAGTCCGCACATATCTTCGTCTGCATCTCCCGGTGACGGGTGAAGGTGTCATGCCTTTTCCTGACATAAAAACAAGTCACAGAAATGCCAAATTGGATCGATGCAGTACAAGCCAAAGGCGTGTCCAAGCGTTCAAGTCACTTTGATTTAGTTTCTATTTGCCTGTGTCATCAAACTTTAATAATATAAACGTGAAGGTTTGTTTGTGTGTTAATAAAAAGTTCTGAACGAATCTAAAGAAAATATAACTAGAAAAAAATCCACGCGGACCAGGCAGCAGACGGGACTCGAACCCGCACCCTTCGCAATCCGGGCAATTTTTTTCTAGTTATATTTTCTTTATATTTAAACATCAAGCAGTTACATGCTTTAAAAATAATAAAAATTATAACTTCTGAACGAATTTAGATGAAAGGTACACATATTGTTTATAACCTAGATAAGGACGCGTAAGATGCTTTTTAGTTAGTGGTTCGGGGAAATATTTGGCCGCGGTATTTTTAATCCGTCATGTGCGTTACTCGATGCAGTTTTAAGTGATCTATTACGGCGGCCAAAAGTCCTCCGCGGACAAAAGTCCCTTGTCTGCGCAGGCTATAAAGGGAATGAATTTGTCAATAAGAGTAATTTCTAAACAGTAAGTAACCAAAGAAAATATTGCTAGAAAAAATCCACGCGGACCAGGCAGCAGACGGGACTCGAACCCGCACCCTTCGCTATCCGGGCGAATGCACTGACCGCGGCCCTGATGGCCGTGTCGAATTCTTTCTAGCCTTTCTTAAGCTGCAAGGCAGCGCCATCTCTTCGCATTGTAGGTAACCCACAATTATATTATCATCGAGTAGTTCCATGCTTAAGAAAATTAAAAAAATAAATAAGTAAGCAGTATTTCTTTGTTGCGTACAAACTACAGACCCTGTTTGTTAACAAATCAAGATAGTTTTCCGATGTCAAGGAGCACCATTAAATCCATTTAGTCAGTCAAGCACCCGTGACGTACTGTCTCGTAATCAAATCTAGATTTTAAAGTATACTAGGTAAGATATACATTTCAAAATGCAAACTGAAAAAGTACATCTGATTTACAAACTACATCTTATTCCAGAAGATTATAAGATTAATATCTTTTAATTACCATTCTTTGATCTAAATTACAATCAGTCAACACAGTTCTTGGTACACTTTTGATACGTATTGTTCTTATTATTTATTAACTAGCGACCACCCGCGTATTCGTCCACGTTTACTTTAGTTTTCTGAAAATCCCTCGGGAACTTAAAATGTTCCAGGATAAATAATATCATTTATCTCAATCCAGATAATAAGTAAATGTGTGCCAATATTTCATCCAAATCCTGTCAGATATTTTTGTGTGATTGAATACCAAACATACAAACTTACATTTATAATATTAGTTAGAAGTTATGTTAGGATTCCCATGTTTTTTAGCATAATTGAAGCTTCATTTAAATTTAATAAAACAAGTTTCAACGGTATGGATGCGCTGATTTATTTATTTATTGACGTTTCGAATCCTGAAAAGGATATTAGGATGCGTCCTATTAGGATAAGTCCTATTAGGATACGTCCTATTAGGATAAGTCCTATTAGGATACGTCCTATTAGGATGCGAAACGTCAATAAATAAATAAATAAGTGCATCTATACCGTTGAAACTTGTTTTATCTAATGAATGGTGTGCGTGAAAACCTAAGAAACAAATTCATTTAATTTTTTTCCTTGACAGCACCTGATGTCGGGATGGTGGGGTGACTACAGCCTCTCTTGCCAGCCGGTGGACTACAGTGACAGTGAAAAAGCGAGACGGGTGAGTTTTCCAGACGTTTTTGCCCCTGCATGCACAAGGCTACACAAATCTTCGAAACCTAGGAGCGAGTGATTCAAAACTCGCCTTGCGTCGAACACTCGATTTCTACTTATTTTCATTCGAAGTAATTAATACAAATAACCTAAACCTACTTATGAATAATATCTAAAATGTCAAATAAATAAACTCAAAATTTCAAAAAAGAATTTTAAATATAATACTTTATTAACTAAATTAAGTAATAAATTCATACATAGACAATAAAACTTAAAAATCGAACAATGAAATAAAAGTCTTTCGAAGATAGCTCGACAAAATTAAATAAAAAATCATTCTGACGAAGCAGCCTCAAAAGGCTGCGAAACGTCAATAACTAAATAAAGTTTCGTGCATTAACCCGTGAAAAACTAGTTTTATTAAATGTTAACACTGTAGATGAACGATTCAAAAATACGGAAAATCAGTATCATGCAACTTGGAAGTTGAAAGTGACTTATGTCGCATTCTACGATACTATGTCAGGCGAGCGAATCGAAAACAGAGCTCCTGACGACTTTCGTCTTCAAGCGACTACCGCAATACAAATTCATAGAAGTTCGTGCACATACACGCGTTGTCGACAATGTGTTTTGTATTGGCCGAAGCTTAACCGTAGCTTCTGCGACCAAGGTTGTGGCAAAACAGTATAACAACAATCTCTCATATGACATTGTGGGTTACCTATAATGCGAAGAGATGGCGCTGCCTTGCAGCTTAAGAATGGCTAGAAGAATTTCCGGATTGCGAAGGGTGCGGGTTCGAGTCCAGTCTGTTGCCTGGTCCGCGTGGAATTTTTTCTAGTTATATTTTCTTTAGATTTAAACATCAAGCAGTTACATGCTTTAAAATAATAAAAAATATAACAATCTCTCAATCAAAATACATCTAGTATTATTTGTGAATACAAGTTCCTGACAAAGTTGGTATAGCATCGAATATAATAAGAACCGGGTTTGTTAGGTCTAGGTATTTTTGTCTAGAACGGGTTCTTCGATGTCATCGTAGTTTCGCATTCACTTTTAACTGGCGAACAATGTAAACTTTCATCTATGACATGAGAGATTTTTTCAAACCAAGAATGTAGAGATAACATTAAGAATCACAAAATATCTATTTACATTATCACAGTTAGGATTTTTATATTCGCTGGACAACAAAACGTACTTTAATATATTTTTTTTAATCTTTTTAATTGCATCTTTGTTTTAATCGGGAACCATATTTTTAAGACTAGACCGAATGATATTGAAGAATAAATGGTGCCCTATTGGTAACCCTCCGCTGTCTATGTGCTGTACACCCACCTCATCTTATATATAAAATTCTCGTGTCACAATGTTAGTTACCATACTCCATCGAAACGACCTGACCGATTTTTATAAAATTTTATATGCATATTCCATGGGTCTGAGAATCGGCTACTATCTATTTTTCATATCCTTAAGTGATAATGGTTGTCCACCTGTAACGTAGTGTTCTGAAACCTACAATGCCCTTTGCGCCAAAATTCAAACTATTGGGTATTGTAACGTAGTGTTCTCATATGGGTTAGGAGGAATGTTATCCCAGGAAATTGATTGAAGACTACGTTACACACACCTTAAAATTTTTTGGACAATATTTTGTTTTTTATAATGTGGTATTAAAAATACATACCACCCTAAATTTTCTCTTCTACCACCTGCCCCTATTTTTATGGCGGTACGAAGTTCGCTGGGTCATCTAGTATAATATAACGGTGATGCTTGTCCCACACCTGCGAGACAAAGCCTTGGTACCAAATACGCTGAAATTAGCGTTCGAAATTTTAATTAGTTCTAACGTAATGTTACTTGTGTTTGTTACTTTTCTTATACTGTTATTGTTACTAAGCAAAGGACGGTAGGCCATACATCCTTTCAAGTAATAAAATTTTAATTTCCTTTTTTTGTGTCACTAAACAGGCCCTGCCAGAATAACAGCAGGCCAATCGCGCTATTTAATATTTTGAACGATCCGCTTAAGTTCAATTAAGTTTCAATCTTAGTCCAATTCCAATTTCAACTCAACTTTATACGAAATCGGTATCGCGCTAATTATCATCTGTTAACTGAACTGCAAACGAAGCTGGGACGAAGATGTGTTAGGAACTCTAGAGATGTCCCATAGTATTTCAAATGATACTTGTGATACTTACTATTTGAGTAAACAATTGGTATCGATTCTGGCATGATTCTCTAAACCAAAACTTAAATTTGACAACAGTATATCCTTGTCATTCTCTACACAGAATGAAAAGGAGAGACTGATATTAAATTTAGTTTTAAGTTTAGAAAATCACGCCAGAATCGACACCAATCAGAGCTCGACTAAGTAATTTTACTACATCACTAGTCTTTTGATTTTGACAGATTGTTGAGTTGCTGTCAGTAGTGTCAGTCAACTGAAAAGTCCGGAGTTTCTTTGTGTAGACAAAAATTAATAGTAGATTATTCGAAGAGGAAATGGAAGAGCGCCGCCGTATCACGACCGTCCGCCAGCTAGAACTCCTAGTGGAATATCTTGAAGCCCACAAAGATCTCGCTCTTGGCAGGGTCCGGTCAAAAGAAGCTCGTTCCGTTGCATCAAGACTTTGGAGGGAAGCTTCCGAAATTTTAAATGCCGAAGGGCCTGCAAGGACTGCCAAGGAGTGGTCCAAAGTTTGGAACGACCAAAAATGTAAAGTGCGTGCAAAATTAGTAAATATAAACGCTAATAATAGAGGAACAGGAGGCGGACCGAATATTGCACCCACTTTAACGGCCATCGAAGAAAAAATAGCAAACATTTTAGGTAGGACTGTGGGGCCTCTGCCCGGTGTTAGCCAGGACCAATTGGGGGACATTATGGTGATCAATGAAGAGGTGATGCAAGACATTGCGGCAGAAAATGTTGTGGGTGAAATAGAAGTGGCAGAAGAACCGGTAAATATTTCACCCACAATAAATCAAGAACAATCGATCTTATCGCCTTCACCTAGCCTGACAGGGCAAGTGCCATCACCGCCCCCGCTCACTGAGAGACGTACAATAAGAGGTTGCAGAAGATCCCAGTTAGCAGATCGGCCACGCCGAGAGCGCCCATCAGTCTCTAGATCAGCTCTAGAGGAGTCTAGAGCTATGATTCTAGAAATAGAAACAATAAAAGCCAATGCCTCTTTAAAAAATGCAGAAGCACTGAAGTGTTTGGGTGATTCGTTCAAATTAATTGCTGAGAGCATTGACAGGATGAGCCGCAAATTTTGCCAGGAGTAAATTAATATGGGTTTATTAAAAGATGATTTTATTTTGTTTTAATCTTTAATAAAACATATTAAAAATATTTTTGTTTTTCTTAATTGACAGCCCTGTCTAACCACAAGCGGTTTATGAGAGCCTCTCGGCGCGCACGGCCTAATTCTAGGTCTGTCACAGAATAAGCATTTCTTATATGAGATTCTCTCACACTTGCATGCTGAGTCAGTCTGCGCTCACGAATTGCTTCTTCGGCAGTAAGGGGAGAGAACGAAATATTTTCTCCATGTGCTATATTGTGTAAAACACAGCATGCATTTGCAATTCTTGCTGCAACACCTGGAGAATAATGTAGCTTCCTATCAACCAAAAGGCACCTGTAAAAAATATACAGTTAAAACTCCTTAAGCTAATTCATTGCCGGATGTTAGTAATGTAGGGATGTAATATATGATAATAAAAATTACAAGTCACATCTGTGTCGGATGGTTGGGTTTAGTAGGTAAATTTGTTTAAGATTTTTTTTTTAAAGTCTGTTAAAGACCCAACTCCTTAAAACTAAAAATGAAATAATGATATTTGAAGTTGATGTCAAGCCATGTTTAGCAGGGTGATCATGATAGTATAGATAGTATCTATTTCAAATATAAGAGTCAGTCAATCTATGTTTATTTTTTGAACTTTGTTCTATTTTTATTAAAAATTACTTTATAGTAATATAATATTTTATACTAAGTTTGGGTTTGTGGCAATGTACCTTGTTTTTAGCAAGTTTCCGATTAGTGTCCATGAAAGTTTAAAACTATTTATTTTTCTATGTTTAGCGTATTACAGAATATGCTACAGGTTGATATTTGGGACACTGCTAGTATATTATGTACTAAAACCTTCCCTGATAAATACGTATTTATATACCGAAAACCCCATCCAAATCGGATTAGTAGTTTTTTAAATAATTAAGGACAAACTTACATACAGGTCAAACTGAACTCGTTTTTTTAATTCTTTTAAAAACAGTTTAGTTTCAGCAGTTTGCTGTACTATTGTACCAACTCAGTACCCACTACATACAGTATAAATGCTAGTTAGTTGGCACACTTACTCCATGTGATATGTATATTGTATATCTATTATATTATTCATGCAGATCTGTCAGGTAATTTTATTATCAAGCCACCTTATAGGTATTTATCTGTCTTGGATCACTTACACCTTGATGCACTGCCAACCCTTTAAGACAGTATGATCCCATAAATAGTTTTTTATTGCAATTAAATTGACAGTGATTAATACAGTTATAGAATACCTGAAACGGGCTTTTAGAACTCCTATACAACGCTCAACAGTGTTTCTCGCACTTAAATGTAGTTTTTGATAGTGTTCCTCAGGAGAATTTGGTTGAGGGTTTGATAGTGGTACCATCATAGTAGTTCTTAATGGATAACCACTGTCTCCTGAAAATTAATTGAAGTTTTTTATAAGTAACATTGCTTATATATGTATATAGCAGTTGTTGCAACAGTAGTGATCAAGCCTTCATCACCACAGATCCTGCATTCTAAACACTAGTAGGGTCATTTGTTACTGTAATGAGCACAAATATGTATTTCTGCATCATGGATGTAAAAATAAATTCTTATATAGTTTGTATTATAAACATTATATAGTTTCCACAGTAAAAACCCCTATTTTTATTTTAATAAATTCCAG